TCATGTTTTGGAGTGTGGCAGGAGGTCAGACCTTTCTTCAGTCAGATTTTGGAATCTCCAAGGACGCCAGTGTCACATTCAGGAAAGAATGAGTTTCCCTGGAGAAATGTGTTAGTGTACTAACACCTCCCCCTCTTGTGCTGCTGTGGGCTCTCTATGGAAAGCCCATGTGATAATTTATAGGGATTCACATCTGTTGCTGCTCTTCATCTTCACCAGGTCACAGGCAGCACCTCTAAATGCTGATTCACAGAATTGTGTGATTTATAAATCACTGAAACCTCTCTGAAAGGGAATTGCCCTCACCCCACAGAAGGCAAATAAAACTGCCACTACACACAGGTCACATATGTAAAGATCCACTTCAGACCGAGCTGAAACATCTTCTGGTGGAGACATCCTAGTAATGCAGTAATAACTCCTCCTAATAATGAGATTAGGTCATAATGTCCTTGTAAGCTGTGTCTGGCACTGGCTGTGGCCAACATGAATGACCTGAGGGTGGGCAGGCTGGAGGCTCTGGAGAGCTGATGTGGATGCCTGCAGGGAGATGCTCAATGCACCTGGGGACCAAGGGGCAGAAGCCTAGGGGTAAAATAGAGCTGGGCGATACCAGTAAAGGTGATGCTGCTGAGATCTGGGGCAGCTGAAGTTGCCAGGAGCACCTGGCAGATGGCACAGGATGAGATATATCACTTAGGAAAAGGGACACACCACTCTTTTGCAATGAACTCCTGTGCAAACACATTGCTGAGCATGTTGCTGGAAGGTCAGCCTGGAGACACACGTCTGCCAGCTCTCACCTGATGACTTGGGGTGATTTGGCTGCTGTGCTCCTGCCCTAGTTTGGTCCTGGCACCCTTCCTGCGCTGCTCCTGGCAGGAGGAGTTTGAAGGCTGGATATGACTTTCTTCCTCAGCTCAGAGGGCAGGGCCCTGCAGCAGGTCACTGAAGGGCCATTTCTCTCTCTCAGATCAACCAGAGGGGAAAACAGGCTTTTCTGCATTCTCTGCAGGAGGTGCTGGGTGCTGCTCACACCAGGCACTTGGGAATATTTTAGCAAGGCCAGGCCAGGCCCTTTCTTCCTGTCTGGACATGGCCACGCAGTTACCAGCCTCCAGGCTGTGGCTATAATGGGAGAATGCCCTGCCCACACTGGTTTTAATGGTGCACACTTTACTTAGCCCTTGAAGAAGGGGACAGCTACCACTGTTTCTGTGAAGGGCTGATCCGGGAAGAGATGTGGAGTACAAGGCTGGCATGCGGTTACTGCAGGGCTTATTGCAGGGGTATGAGCTCAACAAGTTCCTCACCTGGTTCACAATCTCTCCAACAGTCCACAGGCCTCTGGGGCTGCTCCTAGGCAGTGCAGTGCTCCCTGCAAGGAGCCATCCCACCAGAGCAAGGCAGGCTCAGATGTGTGGATACCCCTGAGGTAGCTGGTATGGCTGAGAGCTGGCATGCAGCAGTAAGCCTGGGGGGGCTGGCTGAGGATCTTCAGCTCTGGCTGGAGCAGCACGAGCCTTTGGCTGCCAGCAGACCCGGATCCCTACCCTTCTCTCTCAGTATAGTCCGTAACAGGTTGGAGATAACCACCTGAACAGGGTGTGTGGCTGGCACCCTGCAGCAGGTAGGGGCTGATTGCACCTGGGTAAGGCAGTAGGTGAACACAGACTCACCCCATGCAGCATCCCTCAGCGCCAGCCTACCCCCTGGGGCAGTCAGCCAGGGCTGGCCTGCACCCTGTGCTCCTACCCAGCAGCTCAGCCCTCAGGAGATGGGAACTGAATTCATTTAAGAGTCTCTCCCTTAGGTAAAAGAGATCAATAGAAGGGAAGCGGTAAGGGCACAAAAGCAAGACCTCAGAAAGGCAGGCTGTAACTCTGCTTTAAGAGATGTGAAGCAGAAAGGCACAGATAGCACGTAAAATAGGAGCTGTTAATTTTCTCCCATAGCCTCCAGAATGATAAATGGCTTCCATCTATCCTGTATCTGAGATAAGGTTTCCTTAAAAATTACCATAGTTATTGGAATCTTTTCTTGCAGATGTATTTGCTACAGCCTGTACTGTATTGTTCCTGACACTACCTGGCAACCCTGAGCAAGATATTAGCTGAGCGTTTGCTAAACTCTTAACCAGAGAAGAACCAGGATGGATCTCTACTCCATTTCTGTAATTTACATATACATCACCACTTTTCCTTCAGGGCAATAAATACGGAAGATGTGCATCCTTTTGGTATTTGAACATCTGACAGAGATCACACAATTAATTTTTTAACCCCTATCTTAAATAAAAGATAATAAACTAGTGACTACAACTAATCAGGAGGGAAAACCTGTGCAGTGCTAAAGCCCATATTTTTATGCTTTATTAATAAATCAAAACTCACAGCTGAGCTTTTGCCACTCCATTATTTGGAAAATGGGAGTTGAGCCATTCTGCAGTGCAGCAAGCATGATGGTTCCAAGAAGTGAGATACAGGTTTAGGAAATCCTGGCACCCTCTTGCATATATTGAATCTACTCATGGCCCTGCATTGTTAAACAACATCAGTACTTAATATGAAGGTTGCAGCTACCATAGCTGTCACAGAGAAGGCACCTCCTCCCCATTATCAGAGGTTATGGATCTCTTCGGTTGTGTAGCTTTGACCCGAGGAAGAGTGCTTTACCCAGTGCCTTGGACACAGGGAATCCAACACAGCTGCAACAGTCATCCTGATTTTGAGAGCTGCGGAGCTGAGGACACAGTGGGCCCCCACAGTGCCCTGCTCTGGGTGACTGCAAACTTCCTTGCTCCCCAGTCCAGGCAGGATGTGCAGGAGGAGAAATAGAAGCAACTTATAGAATCATAGAATCACAGAGTATCTCAAGTTGGTAGGGACCCAATAAAGGGTCATCAAGTCCAACTCCTTGTTCCTCACAGGACTGCCTAAAACTAAACCATATGACTAAGAACATCGTCCAGACACTCCTTGAGCTCTGGCAGGCTTGGTGCCATGACTTCCTTGGGGAGCCTCTTCCAGTGACTGACCACACTCTCAGTGAAGAACCTTTTCCCTGATAACATACAGATGTTTTAGTTATTGCTAAGCAGCACTTACCTCCAAGTCAAGGACTTTCCAGTCTCTCATGCTCTGCCAGTGAGGAGGAGCACAAGAAGCCAGGGAAGTACAGGGACAGGACATCTGACCTGAACTAGCCAAATGGGTATTCTGTACCACAGGACGTCAAGCTCAGTATATAAAACGGGGGGAGTTACCCAGAAGGGACTGATCTCTGCTCAGAGACAGGATGGGCATCAGTCAGCAGGTGGTGAGCAACGGTATGCACCATTCGGTCTTTCTTGGGTATTATTTCTCCTTTTTTTTTGTTGTCTCTATTACTATTATTTTCAAATTATTAAACTGTTCTTATCTCAACTGATCAATTTTACCTTTTTTTCTGGTTCTCCTCCCCATCCCACTGGGCTGGGGGGAAAGTAATTGAGCAACTCAGTCCTTAATTGCTGTGGGGCTAAACCACCACAATGGCCTGAGCCAGTGTTGTGCCAGGGACCTCATCTATTAATCAGATAGCCATTCCTGTGCATGCTGCCAGCCACTGCTTAATTTACTATCACAGGCATAGCTGGGATCATCACCTGCTCAGCAGTCCTGGTCCAGCTGCACCATTCTTCTTCCCTAAATGAGGCATCTGATGTGCAGAAGCCCATGTTAAGTCCCCTTAGAATTACAATCCACTTCAGCAAAATCTAGTGTAACTAAAGTAGATGGATTAATTTTTAAAAGGAAAATAAAACCAGAGAGCCAGTAAATCGGACACTCCACATAACTCAAGGCACTGCCAGTGTGACTGAAAGGCAGTAGATTGAAAACCAGCGTGCATTTGTTATAGAAGAAAGGGGCTGACATTTAGCCACAAGTTAAAATGTGACTAGGAAAACTGATACAAACCTGCACACGCAATGGAACAGAGCTGGCTTTCACCAAAGAGACTAAAATCCCCTCCATTCCACTAGACCATCACCACCCTCATCCTTCACCACTGAAGCAGGGAGGGGGTTTTCTGCATCCTCCATTAACACTCCAAAGTCTGTGCCATCTGTGGCCATTGTGGGTGCTCAAAGTCAGCTTCACTGCAGCAGTTTCAAGTCCTCAGAGAGGTGGGAGAGGAGGAAAGCTGGATGCCTGACTTGGGGTGAAGCCTGGGGAAGGTGAGGGGAATGGATCCATCCAGCAGTGAGGCAAAGCAGAGGCTCTGGGGGAAACCTGACTCATGTGCCTGAAGGAACAGCTCCTGCACTCATTTTCCCCACCTCTGGCTGCTTGCTGAGATCCTGTGGGCATGCTGGGTCCAGCAAGGGCCCTGCTCTGGGAAGGAGTGGATGAGGGAGCTGAGGCAGCAGAGACAGTGAAAAAGGAGGGTGTGAGAGAAGGAAATGCCAGGATTACAAGAGAAGGAACAACATGGCAACAAGAGAGAGACTTGTTAAACACACAACGGTGGGCTGAGGCATGCCAAGGGCAGAAACGCAGCCCTGCAGAAGTGGGAAGGCAAAGACAGTTACAAAGGCCATCTACTGAAGACATGGAAGTGGTGTCATGTTGTATTTCAATGCAAAGTTTAATGTCAAAATCTGTTTAAAGAGGAAAAAAACCCAACCTGCTATGTATTTTAGCTCTCTTACCCCCCCCCCTCCCCCTGGCATTCCTTAGCTCCTCAGGGAACAGCCAAGGCTGGCTCCTGGGAGTGCACTGCAGACAACCTGCATGTCAGCCTGCAGAGCTCAGCATGGCTGCAGACCAGGGTACCCTCCTGTGCCAGCACCTCTGCCGGCATCAGTGCAGAACCAGGGTCTGGCCTCCTGGTGCCAGGGAGAACCAACCTGGCCAGGGCGGTGGTGAGGACACAGCAGGTGAACAGGCACAGCATGGGAGAAGGCACCAGCAAAACCTTCAACTAAACCCCCAAACAAACAAACTGAAAAGACCAGGTTTCACTTTCAGCTCTTTTAAACAAGTAACTTACTAGATGACAAACCATTTGCTGTGGCCATTGTAAGCGTAACTGAAAACAGGCTGACCAGATGAACATTCTCTGAGCAGATGAACTAGGGAAGTCATGTCTTCTGTGGCTGAAGCCACCAGAGTCTGAGTGGGAGCATTTGGTACCACCTTTTCTGGCGGCTGAGTCTCACTGTCCCACCATCTCCTGTGTGAGAAGCACTGAACTCACTTCCCGCAGCCAGACTGCCTTAAAGAGCCCAAGTCAGAGCTCTCGGAAGCGGCTCAACAAAACAGGTAGGAATTTAGTTTGGAGGCAATTCCTGCCTCTGCCAAATTCAGCTGAAATTTGCCAGTGGGTTCAAGAACATACTGTTCGTTCTTCCCTAAAATTTGTTCCATAGGAAACAAGGCCAAAGTAAAGAAGGTGCAAATCAAAGATGATGGCTTTACAGAGAATTAAAGCTTGACCCTTCCTGAGAAATGCACCTCCTCATGAGCACTTCCCTGCCAGAAGACCAGCACAGCTCAGTGAGCAGCTTCCTGGGGCAAACCCAGAGGGATGCCCTCTGTGCTGGCACACTCAGGCGCAGGGCAGCCTGGGAAAGCCTTGCTGTTAGCACCCCCAGATTGACCTTTACAGAAACCTCTGTCCTCCGAGAGTGTACCCTCTGGCAAATACATTGCTGTATAAATCTGCACCAAGTATCTCCTCCTAGCACCGGTTCTTTTAACCACATACATAAATGAAACCTGGTCCATTTTGTTAGCAGTCACTGTGTGCATACTTAGGAACTTTAGCCAGTGATGCCAAAGTCCTCTTCAATAACGCTACGGGGCCAGATGGCTCACAGTCGCACATCATAAATTCCTCTCTGCTATTTCCATCTTGTATTTACCCAGCTCAGTGTGTAACAGCTACTGGCATTGAAGGCTTCCTTTTTCAGAAACATCTGTGGTTTTGATAAGTCTTTGTAGGTATGGAAAAGCCTGAAATCCTTCAGCTCCAGCTCCCGGAGCAGACTGTACCAGTACCGCACCACAGTGCTGTCATTGCCGCTGACCTCAAACCCAGGCCAATGGATGTGCACCTCGAAGACCAGCTGTCCTATCTGCTCAACAACATCTTCCAGGATCAGGTTTTCCAAGATTTTCCACTCTGCACTCTCCACATCTGCCTTGAGGACATCAATCTGCAACAGAAACACCATTACTGTGTGAAAATGAGGGACTTGGCAGTTATTGTCAGTAACTTCAGAGTTCTATGTACAAATCCTTTTGCACATAAACTGAAAAATCTCAGAGCATTCTATGGCTAACATGGACACAATGTGAAGTTTCAGGCTTGTCTGTTCACTGCCCTTCTCCTGCCTCCACCTCCTGGTCTGGAAAGCTTTGTACCCTGAGGTGTCTGATGTAGGTCATCCTACAACCAAAGAATGTTAGCTCTTTCACAAATCTTGTGGTGGTATCAAAGCTATAGAAAAAGAAGCTGACCTAAATAAACAAAGACACTAAGGCATTACTGGCTTTTTATCTCTCCATCATAAAATCCTGCATCAGAACAAAACATACTAACAGCAATTACTTGCAGCACAGTAGAGCAGCATCCTTGTGTACCAGATGCTACATGTACCACACAAGTACAAGAGAAGGCCAAAGTGAAATAAATGTCTGCTGAGGTAGCTAGTGACCCAAGCAGCTCAGGTCACAACTAACCATGGCCAAGCTGCTGTGCAAAGCTTTTGCAGGCATCACTACGGATGCTGAGTGAGGATGACTAAATCAACAGAATTATGCAAAGAGTCTGCAGAGTTTTAAGGGCAGCTCCTCCAAAGACAAAGGGATCGCAGGAAAGAAGGCGTGAAGCTGTGTGAAGGGAAAAATACATCTAATAGAAAAGTTTTTGGTTTAGACCATTATTTAATTTTGTAGTAAAGATGTTCAGTAATCCAACTTCTCACAGCCCAACACAAGTGTGGGTTGACTTTGCTTGGAGATTAAATGGGAGGGGAGTTACATGCTTTAATACAAAAAAGAGCATTTCAGCACAATTTCACACCTGGTAGAAAATGATGACTGCAGTAATACTCACAAGCTGCAGAGCTCAAGGGCCTGTGTGTCCCAGAGCCAAACAGGGGAAAGCTCCCCTTGCTGTGAGAGCAGGGTTTGCTTGAGCTGGTTCCACCTGAACCACTGCTGCTGCCCATCTGCTCACGCTCAAGATGCAGTTGAAGTGAAAAATTGAAGACTTCATTTAGAGTCAAGAACAGTAAAAAAAGAAACCAATAAAAAAAAAAAAAAAACAGATTCTCTCTGGCAGCCTACCCTAACCATCATGATGGTGTTGGAAAAGGTGCCTGTGCAGGTACAGGAGATAAATTTGGGTGAGCGATGTAAAAGCACTGCCAAGGCAACCACTTTCCTAAGGCACATCATCCCAGGATGCCACACTGGTGTCAGGCTATGCTCTGTCCATGTGGACTGGCACCCTGGCTTGCAGACCCCTCTGCCCAGGGGCTCAGGGCAGGGGCTGTGCCGTGAGCACCTCTCCTGTACAACCAGAGCTCTGCTTTGCACAGGCCACAGCCAGAAACCATGGGGCCATGGGATGGGGTGACCACATCTACCTTCGCTTGTTCTCTGGACATGGGCTTACATGGGATGGCAAGAATCTGTAGGTGTTAAATGCTTGATGTCTCTGGTCTCCATCTGCAAAATGAGGGTATTAACCACTGAAAACCCTCTGTAGGGTGCAAAGGTTGTGCCTGTGAAGAGCTGTGAGACTTTTGTGGGACAAGCTGTAAACCAGCTGAAAACAAAACACTGCATTTTCAGAGCAGGACTTGGAAAAGTGGGACTTGAATGACGTCCATGGTCACAGACTGAATAATGACAAGCCAAGTCACCATCTATCTGCTTATTAAGGCAGCATTGTGCCTCCTCCACACTGAAGGAGGCAGGGGGCCAGTGGAAAATGACAGAGGGATTATGGAATTAAAGCCTGTATTGTGGCACGTCTGCACAGGGAAAGGAGAGGAAGGTTGCACAGACAACCTTAGCTCTGGTATTTCCTAACTTAACTGCAACAAAGAGCCTGTCAGTCTGTCTATCTGTGGGTCACTGAAACAGTTTAACATAGCACTCCTTTGGGTTCAAGGGAAGGCCGAATGTAAATGGTGCTGCTCATGACATTTCAACAGAGGACTACTTCATGGTTGAGCTCACTTATTTTCCTTTATACATTGAAATAGGTTACTTATTTTTCAGATACCAACTCACAGCTGTACCTGTAATGCAATTTTGCGGGTAGTTGATTCCACATGGGTGCAATTGCCATGGGACTGTGCTGGTGCACTTCAGAAACCACAGACTTCTGTAACTTTGAAAGCAGAACGATTATTCAAAACCTTTCTTTTCTGGAGGGTTGGGGGGAGAAATGTTTCTCAGTGTTTGCTTTTGGTTTCCCATGATCTTGCTTTATGGTAACAGTAGGACATCTTTTTCCCATGGTCACGTTTCCAGTCATCATCCAGGTTTGTTTGTTTTTCCCTTGAGACACTAACTGCTGCTCAGCAGGCACTCTGCAGACCCTGCACTGTAGCTGCAAAACTGAACCAAAAAGTGGCTGCTAACCGATGTCTCAGTAGGATAAAATGAGTTACCACAATAACCACTTAAACACATACTGAAATGACCAGGAAATAGAAGGCTAGTGGGGATGTGCTGCCACACAAACCAGAGGCTTTTTGTTGCCTTTAATGCTCTGCACTGCTCAGAGACCTGAGGGAAGATACCTGTCTCTACCCACCAACTTTTGTGACTGCCTTCTGGGAAAGGCATCCATCTCAGCCCAAAGTCGACATTTTATGCCACAGATAGGGTAAAATAAACAGCAGAATAGCGTTGTGTCAGAGTACCTGGAGTGGATAACAAGGGTCCTGCTAACACCTAACACCAGTTTTGTGATGATTAGACTGCTCAGGAGATATTTACCATCAGTTATAAGCAACACACTGCTGATAACAAACACACCATCACCTTCCAAACGCCTTGATTCAAAGTGCCAGTGAAAGGATTAGTGGGCACCTCTATAAATCCAGAGCTCTAATTCACCTGGGAGCACAACTGGAAAGATCTACAGTGCCTGGAGGTAAAAGATGGCAGTTGATTGCCCGCCCATTTCAAGCACTCAGACTAAAGCTGGTTCCTCTTAACTTCCACAAACCCTCGTATCTTCCACAAACTAACTATGTTATCACAGAAAAGTAAAAAAAATGTGCACTTTTTTTTTAAAACGTTTTCTCAGTTTAGCTCCTTTGAAAAAGCACTGCAGCATTGTAGCTGGAGACTTGGAGGGAAAAAAAAGGCCTTTTCTCATGCATAACCAAGCATACGAAACAGCTGAAAAATAGTTAGTGAAGGCCAACACGTATTGTATGAAGGCTCATTTCTTCTTTTTAAGGTAATGACTTGTTACAACTGTGCATCATTCCCTAAAGCAGAGATCAGAGCTCTGTTTGCCTTGATCATTTTTGAAATACCAGGGTTAATGGGGGATTTCAGGCTCTGCGTTGCCCCGTGGGCACCATTAAAGCTCCCTGTGGAGAAGAGTCAATTGAGATTGAGTAGCTGGAAGAAGCAATTTAGCTGTATTACTTTCAGCATGAACTCAGCATGTGGAAGCAGCAGCCAGGAAAAGCAAAAACAGCAAATGCGGTACGGGTCAGGTAAGGAGGATCCCTCTCTTTCTGTGGGAGCAGCTCTGCAGCACAAGCTGGAAGCAGGGAGAGGAGAGTTGGTTATGGCTTTCAAGTGGAGGAGTGGAGCTCAGAACCATCCCATCCTCCTTGAACCACAATGCTACACACTGGGGATTTGAGGCTATGAGAAATAACCCTCTGCTCCAGCTCTCAGATACCAGGTTACCATTTTGACATCCACTGCACAGCAAGATAAACTCTGCTTGCCCATGCATCAGTTTTCCCCCTCTTTACCTACATAAAATTCTCTATTTTCAGCCAAAAAAAAACCTCTATAAAAAGCTGTTTAATTCATATTTTGATTGCACATAACTTTGCAGATAACAAACAGGTTCTTAAGTGTGGCTTTTCAAAACATAGCTTCTCTCTTTTTCCATCTGCAACCTTTCAGAATGATACTTCCTTCCTTTCAAAATACATCCACAGGTCCTCCTCACCAGCAGGTGATGGCTTGGATGTTCAGTCCCTTTCATTCTGAGCCAAGGCTGTAACTGATGGCAGAGAGGATGCTACACAGCCTAAGAGCAAATTACGCTCCCAGCAGCTTGCAACTGCCTTTCCCCATTCTCCCCCATTATTGGTGGGAGGGGTAACTATCCTGGCTCTCTCCGAGCCATCCACTGGGGAGACTGGGACTGCTGTGGGCACGATGTGAGCAACATGGATACTGAAATCAGGAGGAAAATCTATCACTACTGGTCACTAATGTACAGCTCCAAACAGCAGCACTTCTCCTTCAAATTACCTCCCTCCCTTCCTACCCACACTTACATCCCACTCTGTGACGGTCCGTATGGCCAGCTTCAAAATGACTCTGGGACAAATGTGTCATGTTAGACAATTCGCTCTCAACGTGACAGATTGGGCACATCTTAAGATCTGCTTAAGGCATCAAAGCCACAAAGCCAGTTTGTGCAGCTGTGTACTTACATGGTCTTCGGTCTTATTGTACAACAAGGGGAAAACTGTCCAGTTGAAGTCACTCGTACAATATGCACATCACCAAAATAGAGAACTGGCAGTGGGAGCAGGAGAGTTTCCTTCCTCTGCTCTCACCACTGATCCTTAGCAGCCTTGTCAGAAGTCTTTTTTCCTCTCCATTTTGGTGATGTGCTCCCATGAAAGTGGGATACTAATTCATTTTAAATTTGCCACTTAAGCTGGAGAAAAATGTGTCAAAAAGAAAAGTTATTTAACTTTCCCTGTCAGTACAGCAGCAGCTTGCCACAAGTAGTAATGGCCCCAGACAAACGTATCCATCCAGAAAGCCCAGCCAGTGCATGCAAGAGGCACTGATCTCAACCGTGCACTCCAGAGCATTACAGTCACTTTACCCATGCTGTCCCACACCAGACACTCCCAGCAAGGATTTATGAGGGCACCCCAAGTGACCCCCTCCCACAGCCACAAAGCCCATGCATGGGGATGAC